TATATATATATGTGTGTGTGTGTGTGTGTATAAACATATATAAGTATGTGTGTGTGTTAAAGTGTATGTGCTTCGATCTCGAATGTGTATGTGGATGTATATGTGTATGCACAGGTACGTATTGACTTGTTGCAATGCCGGCGACAATGCCTAAAGTAATTGACAGCCATAGTTCTTGACATTCATTTGTATCGGCTCAGTGCGGTTCGAATAAACACTGGCGTTTAGTATTACGACATTTTGTAGATGAATATATGCTGCATATGAGTGTAGATCAAATTTTTATGAGCATATGAACGTGTTTATATAATGTAGATCCCCATGTTTATATTTCCCTATAGAGACAAGAAAAGTCTAGATGGTCTCGACAAACCTCATAACAAATGCCTGTTGATCCTCAGATTTAGCGGCGCAACACGGTGCTGAATTGGTACTGGTTGACGATCCTAAGCTACTGTTTCCCACGGCACAGAGGATAGCGGAAGAGGAGGGACGCACCTTCGTACACCCTTTCGATAGCGTATACACTATGCAAGGTCAGTATGTGTGTCGTATCGATAATATTCGACTGTGTGGTTAGCCATTGCAAATATCTTCTATGGCCCGCTGAACAAATTCATTTTGGTGGTGTGATTATATATATGCCCGTGTGTCTGTATATATAAACATAAACCTAGGCAGTTCGGTCGTATGTGGCCATCGGGTATGTATTGTGCTTCTCGTATGCAATGTAAATGTTAGCTGCCAAATATACAGGCGTGCCATCTCGTTGATTTCTGCTTTCTGTGATATGCAAGTGTAATCATAACCTCATATCGTTAAGTATAGCTCGAAACTGTTCCTACGCTCCCGCTGGATTGACCGCGAGTTTCGAAGGGACTCAAATTCACTGAGACTGCTGTGCTGATACATGTGATTTTAAGACTTAAACCCTACACCCTAAATCCCTAAAACCCTAGAACCCCAAATGAGCTAAAATTTATGCGTGTATCTTTGACAGTACAACATATGCTTGAAGTCAAAACCTAGAAGCATGAATATGCACACTGGTTGATAGGGCAGAGGCAGCATACAAGTGAACAATACAATATCATGAACACACTTGCTGCAAAGGAGTCGTGTACCGGCACATGGGATACATGATATTTATACATATATATGTATATATATATATATATATATTTATATATTTATATATATATTGTATATATATATATATATATATAAATACATATATATATATATATATATATCTATATTGTATACTTATAGCACACACACACATATATATATATATATACATGTGTGTGTGTTATATATATATATATATATATAGTGTTCGTGTGTATGTAGGTATGTAGGTAGTATTATGTATATATGTATATATATATATATATATATATATATATATATATATATATATACTTATACATATACATATATATATATATATATTTATATTTATATTTATATATCTACTAGCTTATGTAGAAAGGGCTTATTAGTATCCATTCGCTTGTTTGTTTATTGGCAAACATTTCGTGTCGAATTATCCCAGGCACTGCTACTGCTGGATTAGAGCTCACAACGCAGGTCCCAAAATTAGACGCGATGTTATTGCCAATTGGTGGCGGTGGTCTCTGCGGCGGATTTGCTGCGGCGGTCAAACAGGTGAGCAAAATTCTAAAGAATACTTGCAACTCTATACTATCTTCTTTTAAGCAGACATATCACATTTTTGCGCATATTTCTGCTTAGCGCTGTTCCACTTTGAGAACCACTTTGTGCAATGTGTTGACCTGAATGGCGTATACGCATATCTACGTATCAAATCCAATGCCCTTGGCTGAGCGGATACCTTCTAACAATCAATACTAGCCACTATAACAGTGACTCTTAAAGTTTTTCCGTGCAAGGCAAGCGAAATTCTATCTGACGTCAAAATCGCATTATTATACATTTAATTGCCTACGTTTTTCAATAACATACCACATGTTCTACTGTTCCAATTGCAGGTGTGGCCGGAGTGCCAAATCATTGGCGTAGAACCAACAGGTGCAAGCACCATGCATGACAGCTTTGCCGCGGTAAGTTGCAATTCTTCGTAGAATATATTATTTAACTTCTAGTCTTGTGTGTGAATCTTGGTGTACGTATACACCACATTATGCAATAGATGCATTTGTAGATTCTATATAT